TCTATCCAACGAGCAAAGTAACTTAGCTATCTACAACATCAAAAATATAGTCGACATAAATTTAGCGGAATCTAGCGGAAGACCATAAAAATTTTCGTCGTCAGCACAAGGGCGCGCTGACGACTTTTTCGCCCCATGTACTGCGCCTGAAGAGGGCGTCTTATATTTGACGAGTAGTTTTTTTACGAAAGGCTCACCTGACGCGTAGAAGCACATCGCTGGCCCGGCGTTAAGCAGTAGCAGACGTGGTAGGTCGCATTGGGTTCTTAAAGGCGCGGCAGTGAGGGCGGATCATGTACTGTTTTCGGGTCGACTGACTAGCAGAAAAAATCATCAGAAGCCAATTTGTAATGCTACCATCATGCGTAAAGTTACCTATTCTGTATGTGTGTCTAGTAAATAGACAAGAGTGCAGTTACAAATTTCTAGATAGACAACGAATAGTTTAGGTTTAAGCAGTACTTCCTTCAACTAGAGGCCTGCTTTATTTTCAGATCAGATGCCTACTTTTCTTTAAACTGGAAAATGAAATGAAGCATAAATTTATGACGTTTCGATTTCACATAACAATAGACTAGCTTTTGATTTTGTATTATTTTTATACGTTGCGTTTCAACATGGCGTAATAGTACAGTTTGTACCTCAATTAATTTACATAGCATTGCTTCAAGTAACTGTATAAGTAATAAATAAGCTGGATAAAATACAATTTTAGGTAATTTTTCATTTTTTCTATTGTCTAGACATTAAGCGGACAGTCAGAGCATCAATACGCTCTTTTCCTGACCTAAACTAGTTATCATGCATCTCCCAAGAATGGTAAGCAGACGCGCTACTCCCGCACCATTTAGCAGACGTAGCTTGACAAATCCAACGGATGTTTTGCACCAGATTAACTGTAGAAAAAGCTTTGCCGTCAATTTCAAAATAATATTCAGATATTTTGTCTAGTAGTTCAGTACCACTATTTTTCGATAAGGACGATGGTGACGGTTGTTATGATTCGTTTTTTTTTTTTTTTTTTTTTTTACCTAAAAAGCTGTAAAAATACGTTTCTTTGCCAAAAAATAAACTACACAATAATAGAAAGACCACAGAATTTTTCTTCACTAGATTTATGTAAAAAAAAAGTTACACATTTACCATGTGAACAACAATACGGAAGATTTAGTTAAAAAGTTTCGTCTCTACATTAGCCTAAGTTAGACATTCAACAAACTTCATAGGAAACAAATATATTTTTGTTTGTCCTAAGTTTCACTTTTAAAAACGCGATAATAAAGCTAATGCTATATATCCACTGGCTTCGACCCTGGACCGAACATTGGCAAATTTAACTATTGAATATGAACAATAAGCATTCGAACTAAAGGGTGAACTTAAAACCAGACCTACTTAATTTGTACATCTTCGTCGAGTTAGAACACTTCAATAACGGATTTACTTGAATAAATATAGCCAATTTCCAGATCTTCACTTTTTTTTTTTAACGCGTCACGTATAGATAACAGTAGAGCTCACTTTTAAAGCGAGCCCAAAGGCCCATATCGACCGTCTACCTATCCTCTGTACAGAATACATATGTACAGCTTTTTCTCCTAATTGCCGCCTTTGTCGGCAGTCTTTGCGGGTCGCCTGGCGACTAACCCCTTGAAAGGGTCCAATACTCAGAACAACAGCGTTTCGAATATCCCGCGCAACCGTGTTGCCCCTCACCCTTTATATTCCCCTTCCCCTACCGCGGGCGCATAGCACAACAGCCGCAGAATTAAGTACACAAAACCAAAGTATCAGGCCAAAAGCGACGTGGCGTGTTGCCGGACTGTCATTTAAGAGAGGAAGCTCAGAACAAGTACAGAACTATTTATGGGATCGCGGCATGGGGCTCCCAGACAGAGGAGCGCGCGGTACCATTTGTGTCGTATTTCTCGCCAGCGGAGCCGTTCAGCCAGCGAGAGTGGAGCGAAGCTGCCGGTTCCATGAGCCGTATTAGTCGCCGTGGTCGCAGTAACCACCACTACGACCGCGGTTAGGCAGCCGACTAAGGCAGACCTGCAAGTGACAGTTCGGAAGAGGTTAATGGGCCCCTCAACCACCGCAAAAATAAACTCGCATCAGCTTCTCTCTGGGGTGCATTGCGCTGTCAGCTTCGCTTAGACCTCTGCCGGCCCCTGCTCCGAAGCAGGAAATGGACACTTCTCTAGGCACATCTCCCCTCTTTACTTCTTTTTCTATCTCAGCTTTTATCGTTCTTGTGTCCTAGCTTTCGCATAGACTTTTTTTGCTCCCTTTCTCGCTTCCATTTTGTCCTTGTTGGGCTGTAACCCGCTTGTTTCTGAGCCTCTCAGAGTGTCCCAGTGCTGTGACCATGCTCCTGTTTTACCCATGGTCGTCTCAACATTTAGCCCATTTCTACTTGCTTTTGTTCTAAATCGTTTTGCGTTGCTGACGACGAAAAAGCAGGCGTTTGAGTAAGGACGAGGCGCACTAGTGGGTTAGCAGCACAAGTGGAGAACAGCAGAGCAGCCAAAAGGAAGACTCCCTTTCGGAGTCGTGGCCTCGCGGGGGATTTCTATGCATCCGTACCACGCACACGGGACCAATGTGCCGGGAAGCGTCGTCCATTCTCTGTAGGCGATTGTCTACCGAAGTTGCAACAAAACTAAGAATCCCAAGCCCGGGCTAAGAGAACCGTCCGCCCAACTGGCCGACCGACAAACGAACGAATTTGCATTCACTTCTACCACGAGTTTGTCCAATGAGAAGCTCTGTAAAGCGTAATTGTTCTAATAGTAGTACGACTAGTGCGTACCTCTGGCGAAATTCTAACACAAGACTTCCTTTCCGCTCTGTCCCCGTCTCCCCACGAAAGTGATGAACAATTCTAGTTAAGCTGTAGTAATGTTGGTTGGGATCGAGCAAAAACAACAAGGCCGTGAGATTGCATTAAGGTTTGCCAGGGCTTATCTTTAAAGAGCGGACGGTTTTGATTTTGTGCATTTGCATCCAAAAAGTATTCAGGCTCTGCTTGTACGTGCGAGTCGTACAAGCCCAGCCGATGGAAAAAAGGGAACCCACTTCTTTTGCTGGGATACATGCGAGTGATTTCGCGGTAGTTAGTTGCTCTTACCACATGGCTAAGAGAATGGCAACAATCGTTTTACAAACAGCTGAAATAGGACAATCAGGTGCTAACCAACGATCGACGTCGACGGTTGCGGATATAAAGATTTTTTAAATCCGCATTTCATTCTCACATCCATTGTTCGTTGGTACGGTTTTCTCCCCTTTCTTCTAGGACAGAGCTTCTTGGTGGCGTCTGATTTACCAACAGTGGCTGAAACGAACACAGCCTCACCCCTAAGGCCAATCTAGGCCACTAGATAATACAAATTTGCAACTATCGCTTCTGAGCTTCATCGTGTCGTACTTCCTGTTTGCTGTCCGTCGATCTATTCGAACGTTGAAACGCGTCCACATTTAGGAGTGAAAGATAGGTCAGCTAGCACGGAACCTTTAAGCACATTTTTATCATATCGTATTTGAAATCGGTGACAGATTTCGATAGATTGGGGGTTTTCGGAGGCCTTAACGACTGTGCGCCATTGCTGTCTAAAGCAGCATCCCAAGGTATACTGCAGATTAAACTGCTGAACATATTTAAAATTTAAGTAAACGCGGAAGATTTACATATTTAAATTGACACCTAAACAAATTAGGTATGATGATCAGACAGTCACCATATGTTTAATTTTAATTCAAAAGGGTAGCTCGTATATGTTGCTTGTGAACGTACTAACTATTGAACGAACGGGTATCTTAACGCCGTTATTGAATCTCCATTTGATCTTGCCACAGTGATGTTAGTATCGTACTTCTAAAATCGAAATATAATTCATATCCCGCACCGAAGGTGGCCACAAAAAAGTGATACATACCCCTTCAGTAACGTCAGTATCATCGCCTGCGTGATTATCTATCTATAGGGTTTTGTAACTTCCTTGCTTTCGGGTTGTCATGTTCTGGGTATGTTCAGTGACGCGTCACTCGGGGTCTGGCTCTCGAATTTTCCATCCGGCTCGGTCTGCAGAAACAAGCATACACTGAGATTGAGAAAGCGGGAGCCCGTATCGAATATTGTGGTTGTCAATATGGCTCCGCGCGGAAAGTCGGAGGTTTTGGGATACTGGTGGGTTTTGGTATTATCGAAAAGTAATTGAGCTCATCGTTTGCTCGTTGCCTGCCATCGCTGCGCCGCAGCGACCACAAATGCGGCCACGACTACCCCAGAGGAGTTGGACTCTGCCTGCAGCAGAACCAACGCAGTTTGTAGGCGATATTGCCTGCTCCATCCTCCGGCCGCTCATTCATATCGCGTTTATTCGCCTCTTCCCTGTTCGTCGCAGCTTTTATTTTCGCCCTATTCCGCGCCCCCTTAGCCCCCCCAGGATACCAGACTTCAGAAACAAACAGCTAAAGAAGCCGCCAGTTGGCCCCCGACTGTGGAAGTCCCACTCCAGCCCATTGGAACTACTTGTTTTACTTCAAATTTTAGCCAAAAAAAGCCCGAAGGTGCGTTCAGCCAGAAAATACTATTACGCCATGTTGGCGTATTCGCTCAGTGGAAAAAAAAAGTCAACGATTGACCTACTATCGCATGTTTAGGATATGTGCACCGGCATAAACGCATTGCTAATGCACAGTTTTGTCTATAAGAAAAAACTAAGCATGAGACACGACTAGTGGATCTATTAGATGTAGGCATGCAAACGATCTTTGTTGTACTTACATGTTATTCTCAAGCTGGAAGAAGCTTCTTACCAGCACATGTCGCTCAGGCTTGATTGTCAAACGCCGTTCTTTAATATAGCAGAAAGTTACAAATGTACCTGGAGAGTTTCCTCATTGAACATAATAACGTAACAGATATTTCTAATATTATTTCATACTTTTCCCGTCAGCCCACTAATGAAAGATCGCATTACGTTTTGCGTTTCCAGAAGTGAGTCTGGATAGTTTGTACTATTTGAATATGATGCAAGGAGCTGCGTCCGGTACAGGACTTGCAAGTCCTGCAACACAACCTGGTAAGTAAAACATCAGAGTCATACACTTTTCTGCTGCTAATAGTCAGCTTCTGCTGAAATAGTGATCAGTTGTGGTCAGTTTTTCGTATTGACTCTCTACTCGACCTCGCCGCGTACTTCATATCATTTAAGCAGCGCCATGTGAAGGAGAACTACTTTGAGCTAATCATTTTCCTTATTTGATTAGGTTCTGCATGATAATAACTGAAAAGGATTTTATATAACTATTCGTAAGTTGCTATTGTGATAACTAAATTTCTGTTACTCCGATGGGACAAAGCTCCGAGAACATTGCTTTGTTCCTCAGGCTCGACATTTTGATAAAGATAAAAGTAAACTATGTAAGATAAATAATGCAGCCCGTATCACGCAGGACCTTTGTTGGTAAATTAGTGTATCTGTCATAATGGATCATGTCTACTTTCGTGTCGGGTATCTATGATTATCATTACACTCCTGTCAATATTTATGTAGTTCAGGTACTATGTACATACAGTCTACGTAATAACCGGTACGGGTAATAAACAAGAACACTACAGCGGTCTCTCCAGGTGAGAAATGATAAGTAGGACGCCTAGAGGTCCACAAAGAAAAGCAACTCTCAGTTCGTATCTGTGTTTCTGGTAGTTGTTCACCCCTTTGCAATGAACACAGGCTCGTTCTCGTGGACGGCTGCCCGTGGTAAGCCACGTAGGGGCATGATGCGGAGAGCAGTATTCTCGGATCAACAACGGCAGGGCCTAGAGAAGAGGTTTCAGATACAGAAGTACATCTCTAAGCCGGACCGGAGGAAGCTTGCCGAGAAGCTGGGGCTCAAGGATTCACAGGTACATTTGTAAAGCCGAACCTTTTCTTGCTTTTACCTGCTTATTGATCCGGTTCTCAGCTCTGCTCGCTTTGATCTGCTGCAGTATATTATATAGTTCATGTAAAGAAGGGTGTGTGGGGCTTCTCTTTTTAGCGTACAGTCGATCTCAGTAATCAGCGGAGCTATGGTGACATAATCAGGAACGCGTTACCAGTTACGTATTAATTAGTCTAAATCAAAGGACATGTGAATATAAAGCAAAGTAACAGTCGCGAACGTCCTCTGTATTAAACAATATACAAAAAGTCGTGTTTATTCCGTAGCGAAATGAAATAGAAAATTTCCACTGTCAACTAAAGCTTATGGCATGTTTCAACGAGACGATGCTGACTGACAAAGTGCGAAGAATAGAGAAACAGGCAATGAACGACTGAATATAGCTCGTCTTTCCGCTGTCTCGGCTGAAGGCCAAGCCCTTGAAAATACTATACTTTGAGACAAAATAGGGCTGATGATACAAAGTTATTAAAGCGAATCATGTTTAGTTCGCCTCACCGGGGCAATAAATTATCCGACCATTAAACGCGAACAGTGAAAGCGGCTTAACTGTTATAAGGTTTCTCGTTCATTATCATTTGCTGTTATTTTTGTGTTAATATTAAGCAACTGTGTTTTCACTCTCTTTGACCCGATATTGCTATGGTATCCGTGTATGCAAAATGTAAAAAACTACACACATCATACTGATATAGCCTATAATACTCGTCGGGCTCTTCAGGTGAAGATCTGGTTCCAAAATCGTCGGATGAAGTGGCGCAACTCAAAGGAACGCGAGTTGTTGTCTTCGGGCGGCTCTCGTGAGCAGACATTGCCCACCAAACGAAACCCTAACCCGGACCTATCAGATCCAAAACCAGTAAATCCTGTGTGTATCCCACGCTATATTAATAATCGTAGCTAACGACCGCATTTAAAATATTCGTTCTATTTTGATGCAGTATTATAACCTTTCCTATCAGATTTATTATTATAGAATATTAGTAGTAATTATGACACGAAATAGTTCCTCTTTTACGAGTGTCTTAACTATGATTTGTTCCGCGGCTTCTTCAGCATGTCTCGCCTTCACCGGTCGTTCCCGTTCCGCTGGTGCCGTCACCCCCGGGCGCTGGCCTGGGACCCCAGTCTCTTCCACAGTCGTTGGCGATCCCCAAACGGCTATTGGGAACGCCAGCGCCCCCACCTTCGGAGGGCCCGGACTCCCCGGGAGCCTTCATCGAACCGGGCAGAGAAGAGGTACCAGCGTTCCATCGGTCACCCGATGCTCCTTCACCTTCCGAAGCGACGACAACAACGCCAGTGTCCACAGCATCAGTCGTCACTCCTACGCACTTTCACTTAAATACACTCAGTTGAAATAAAGGCCGCATTGTCGGCCAAATAATTATGGGGTTTTAGGAGGATAATTGGACATAAGTGGGTGCCAAACCTGTTTAAGTAATTTTTGCTAATAAGTTCACACAGATAATGTTTAGCCTGGGATGAATCTGGGGTGGCGTTGAGGGGTAGTGGAGGTTTATGGCGACAGCAACAACCCGGAAGAAGACTTGGCCAGCGATGTAACGTGGACACAACACACGTTTCGCCTTGCTGCTATTTACCATATACAGAGAAAGCGAACCAGTAAGGACGGCAAGTGACAGTGTACGGCACGGTCGACTCTTGTTCATCATGGTTTTTTAGATATTTTCAACAGGATCGAGGTTTTTTCTATATTTGGATTTGTAGAAATGTAACAAACACTCACGGACACCACCATCACTTGAAACGCGAGCATGAGAGACACAAGTATAATAACACGTTCACTATACTTTAATATAACCTTATCTAAATATGATAAAGGCACACAGTATATATTAATATTCCCTAAGCTGCTACGATGGTAAGAGCAAATTGTAACCTCTGATAGAAAAAGAAGGCACTCCGGGAACAAACTGAAAAACATGTCCTACTGACTCACAAGTGCGTTTTTGTATAAAGCCAGCAGAAGTGTCAATCGTCACAATATATGATAGATTAGAGAAAGTAGTGGGGAACGCATCGACTACGCGCTGCGGTACGGCGAGCGACGCATGGAAGGAAAAATGAACAGTACTAACTATACATAACCATAACAATAACAAATAAGAGCAAAACAAATAAATGAAGAAAAACAGCAGAATATGTAATGCTATAGAAGGAGACAGAACACACGATAAAAGTGTGATCGAAGTATCGCTTTAGCGTATTGAGAACGCCTCAAATGCTAGCATATGATCAATCGGGGTAAAGGCGCTGCGGCAGGGAAAAAGCGAACAGAAATTGAATAACAACGTTGGCAAAACAAATGGGAAAGATAATAAAATTGTAAAAAGGACCGTAAATGAGAGCCTGTTGTTTTCCATTTGTGATAAAGTCGTGGTCAGGAGCAAATGGCGACGAGCAGTAAGAGCTTCACGGTAATTCCACGCGGTGTTCGAAACTGTTGAATAACAACGCCTTCGAGCTCGTTGAATAAATACCACTTTTAAAAATGCCGCCACCGTTGCCGGTCAGAAGAAAGACGCAGTTACGACGGTGAGTGCATTCCAATAGACATCTTGAACCGACAAGTAATAACAGGTTTAAAGCATACGAACTATGAACGATCAGAAGATAAGCCAAAATTAACCAATAAGTTATTTGATGGCCTTGTAAAAATGGATACAACTAAAAAGAATGTACATTTTTCTAGTTTTAGATCCGGTGCCGCGGTTAGGCGCTCCATCACAGAGCTCACTTCCAGCATTTAGCATGGCTAAGAAACTGGTCTTGACCGGTAGCGCTATGCGGGCAAAGAACAGACTAAGCGTAAAATATGTTATTCCCGCTGGAAAACGTTTGTCGGAATAGCCTATATTAGTTTTTTTGCAGGAAGTCTTAAAATGTGTGCAAATAAATATTCTGCAAGTAATATTGCAGACAGTACGTCATCGGGCTCAGTCTTTCGAACTTGAAGTTCGTAGCAGAACGATGGGGCTGCATGGATATTGTTAAGGACAAAGTTACTTTACTGCTAGATACATCATTAATAAAATGGCTTCGCTTTTTTTAATTGATTTCAATCAAATACATCTCTACGTATGTACTCAGCCAATTCGAGCATAACATAAAACCCATTCGCGACGATTTTCCGACATATTTATCGATCATTTATTGGACTGATAAGTATTTAAACTTGGCTGCTTCCAGCAGAAAGATGACTGGAAAGGCCACTGGAGGCGAACACAAACTATGACAAAATCGTGATGGTTAATATCTTGCTCGTTCTTCAGTGATAACGAGACACAGTGACTGGTTATAACATTTCAAGGTAATGTATGTATACAGCTCTATGGGCTGTTGTACTAAGACTCCGTCCACTCCGGCCGCTCGTTTACTACCAAAGCGACTGTTTCGCTTGCCGGAGCGCAATGCAATGGATTGTTAGTGAACAGTACCCTCCTTTTAATGACTGGTGCCGTTTGTTTCCAGCCTATTGCTAACTGACCTAATACGGTATTGCTCTCCCACGTCACGAGCTTCTTCGGCCGATTCCTAGAAATAGATCTCGCTAACAATGATACCAGATCAGTCTTCCGCAGTGGCTGTCGGTCTGTCTGAAGTAATCTTCCCTACTGATTCCCCTTTCCTATAATAAATACAGACAAGGAGAGTATCATGCTCCGACAAGACAGGATTAACTTGTATCTTTCATTTTTGCCTTTGATGATGTATTGTACATCAGTTGTCAACGATAATAAGCCCACATAGCAGGTAAACCGCATCCGTTTTCCACTGTGAACGTGTTGCTCCGAGCCAGCGAGGATCTCCATTCGACTACCTGAAGCCCTCGATCGTCCGGAAGGGACCGGCTAAGCAGCAGCGCCATCTAGTATTTGTTTCAGGAAACTTTTGAGTTCTCTTTGGTATGCCTATCGCATTATCGTAGTTGGGAATCCTCTCTGCTTTAAAGAAATTTAGCACTCTATCTACGTATCTATACGAAATTTTCAGTTAAATTGTACAATATAAACATCCGTTGCTTTGAAATTGCTTTGAATATTATTGCATATTTAGGTAAATATGTACATACGTTTCGAATGATATATTTTCAGGTAGCGAACTTGAGCTTTGAGCTAGTTAGCCACGAATCGACTGATCAAATTGACCTCGAGTTATTATTCATTAGGGTAGTACTTGACAATGGTTTGTCCAGTGACGGACGAATTTCTTTAAGCTGATTTTCAGTAGTGTTTGCATAAATCAAGTACTTTTGAACGCTTACAAGTTTGTCGAGTGATGCGATGGACGCTGTCGTTCATATGGTTGACACTCGGCCACGATATTGACTTCTAACGCAAACTATATATCAGTGAGATGGATACCCGTTCACACTTCGTCATTCCAAGGTTTATATTTTTACAATACTGACTAGAAATTGGCCTATTTAGAAATCCACATCAATGGCTATCATACACATATACGCGTGCTGTCAAAAGATCAATTGTTGAGCTATTTTCTACATTAGCTAAAAAGCATAAAGAAGGGCGCCATTATTTTAAATATTGTTTTTGCAATGACCTCCAAATCAACCCTTACGCCTTCGTCGTGCTTGCTTCCAGAGAACTAAGCAGACAGCATAATGACGCACGTTTTACGTGACGCTTTTTGTTACTTTTTCTTTTCCTGTACACTCGTACAACCGCCTCCCCTTCCGCTAACCAAAACCCATCTACGGCAGCAGCAGCAGCAACAACAACACGATTTGTGCGCAAATCTACGTCGCATATCAGAGTAAACGCGCTCATTATTTGCTTTTACACTAACTGCCCACGGTTCGTATGATACCCCGGCCAGCCCAGTGGGTGTACGGCCGCCCCACTGACCCGAATTTCTTTTTTCCAGCAATAGTCTAGGGAATTTCCGGTTCATCCTACAATAAATGCACGTGCAAGCCAATTGGGGTCCAGTTGGTGCGTTCAGCTCTTACGGGGCCCCTCGCCGGAGTGTAATGCGGTGCATCGAATAGAGCGACCCACCGTGCTTATTATGTCAAGGTCCGGGTCTGCACTCTGGTTCGATGTATGACGACATACGAATAGATAATCTAAGCAAGAGCTAGACTAAGCAATTAACGCAGACTTCGCGGAAGACAGAAGTTTCGCTTCAGAAGTTTCCTTTTGCATTTTGCGTTTGGTGTACGACGCTAATTCTCGGCGGCTAATTCGACGGCAATAATGCTCCTGCTATCAGCCCGTCATTTCGCATATATATGATGACTTGTTACGGTGACCCATGTATACTAGCGGTGGGTGCGATTGGTCTAGCGGTCAGTGGTTGATTGCCCAGCTCGCAATCAACCACTGACCGCTAGAAGAACGCCATTCGCTCGTAGATCATCAACAATAGGGCGCCTTCGATTCGTCTGGATGATCTATCGTCCAAGAAGAAGTTGTGTCTGAATAGCTGAAATTTTGTGGGCTGATCCGGTCAGGATGTGCGTTGTTTCCTGAAGCCACATGTACATTCGATAACTTTATGATAATGAAACAGGATTTTCTAGATGACCCGATCGTTGAACGATTTGATGATGGCTGGCATCACTGTCCGAAGCCAGAACAACGGGTAACGTGACATAGAACGTTTGACTAAACGTGCTTTCTTTTTCTACTCTTACGTGCCAAATGTTAGTTTATAGGAATAAGGTAGGGTAAAGTGGCAAATAATGGTTGTCTCGATATGTAATAATTACTATACAATGTATGTTGTTCTAGTAAATAAGCATGAAACCGATAAATTATCAATAACCCATTGCTTTGCGTAGTCTTTATATAACAGCTGAGTAACATGGAAGAAAGTTGTCCTTCCCATTATGCGGCATCATCAGAACCGTGCCAGAATTTTGGCTTCACGCTTTATACGCTGATGAATTTATACCTAATCATTTCAATGTCTTTCAGCAGTAGCTATAGAAGCCTCGCTGAGGTAAGGCTATCATTGTGTTGCTTCCTTAGAAGCACTACCCAGACTTCAGCCGTCCATATTTTTATCTTGCGTTTGTCGCATCAATACATCGCGGCTAGTGTATGGGTTGGATCTGGAAGAGGGATAGAAAAAGATTGATAGTAATGCATATACAAGGAGTATCAGCGAATTCAAATTGACCCATTCAGGGGCATGTTGAAACCGATTAAAGCGTACCATTGTATTTATATATAAATTGCGTTTCTCATTGAGCGCGCTCCTAGCGAAGCTGTATCTCTGACCTCTTGTTTTAGGGCAAGTGCAAAGAGTGGACATGTCCGGATACAAACGACCGGAGGGGTTCTCCGTCGACTTTCACTGCTAAGAATAAGTTGTTGTTTACCATTTTTGACGCTTGTAAAACGATGACAATAGATTATAGTAAATCAAATTTGAGAATCACTAAAAAATCTTAATATGTGATGCGCGTCAAAGAGTTCAGCTTGGGATGCTAACGTTAGCTTTTTGCCAACGAGCCTAAACTTCTCAGCGTTAAGTATGCCCTTGAAGACCTTGTCGGCGTCACCATATGACACCTCATGACGTACCTCTCGAATACAGCGGTCCGACGGCAAGCCAGCCACAATAAATTCGGCACACTGAAATCATAGCTGAAGATCGAACTTGGTTCATCGCCACAAAATGGCATGACTATAGGGAAAAAAAAATGTAACGGAACAAGGTAATTCTTCGAGATTGGATGCACAAAGTATGTGCCGCAAATAGATTTATAACGAAATGATATTGATTCGTTGTTGTTTATTTCATTCCGCACGGTCAGTTTGCAAATTTGACACAGATCGCATGTGTATTCGAATACCACCTACTGTCTTCTTGTCCCAGAGTTTCAGAACTTAGGCCTGCTAATAAAATCCTGCATTCATGAATTCTATGAGAATTACCATCCTCAAACCATCCCATGTACGAGAGTGTTTTGCTACTGTTACATGACAAAGTACTCTCATGTCAAGCATTCCATCGTCTGTGATTTTTTTTAAGTAAAAAGTTCATGCGATTCCAGGCGAGACTTCCACTCATTGAGCCCGAGATCCGAATTTTGGCCGTGAAGCCTATGCGGCTTGGCAGCCGCATTTCTCATTAGGTGAACTCTACTTTAAATCGTTGGCCTGAGCTGGCTTTTCGCTGCCCTGCGCAAATGAGCCGAGCGCTTGCGTTGCTGTGAAATACAATTAGCACCGCTGGTACTGATGTTATTGTTGTCACAGTCATCTCTTTGGAGTTACCGACCATTGCTGGACCCAGTCAGAGCTAAACTCTGGTTCGTTTAGAGAGAATTTCTTATGCTGCTTGTGTGTCACAGTCGACGCGCACTAGCGATAAGAAACTGTCACTTCGTCACCGGATAGCAACGGTGGCAAAAACAATAGCAGCGTCGACACCCAGCTGAGTCGTCGCAAATCCCTTTTAACGGCACCATGCGCGTTATTTCTGCAGCTGCAGGCCGTGTACAGGTTGCAATGTCGTCGGAAAACGTCTCCCTTATGCAAAGTCAAGTCGACGTCTCACTACTAATGCGACGACGACGTTTAGGATTTACAGTCCATCGTGCATCGCCAAGATCCTGGTCCTTTTTTGCTAGCAATCGTTCGGTACCATTGGTGCCACTAGAAGAGTGCTGCTCTCACCGCAGCGTCCATGAGTATCGCGCGCGGAAGCCACCGGCACCATCGCGTAGCGATCAGCCGTAGCGAAGTGCGCGGAGGCCGACGTCGATGGGCGATGCAGCGACTAGTGAGCACCAGCCAAGCGAAGTGACTAACAGAAGACCCAGTAGAGACAACAGGGGGTGGCTTGCTTTGCCGTGACGGGAGTTGCAGGTGTCGCTTTTTGTTACTGTTGCAGCAGCGTCGAAGTTGTCGCTGCATATCTTCGTATCGTAGACCCAGCGAAGCGTAGTCTATGGGTGAGGAGCAGGAGCTGGCTCAGTCGACGCTACCGCTATCGCGGCTGACGAAACAGGCCAGATAGTGTTCGTAGTCGAGACAGACGAATGCATAGCACCAACGGTAGACTGTATTCAGTTGTGTGACGGCGCGGAAGCACCAACGTTCGGCCTGATAGTTATGCGTGAGTGCAATCGCCGTACCAATAATACGACGCACAAAACAACGTACCATTAAATGGCAGAAGGTCGGTGCCTCTTGTTGATGTTGATGCGGTTCACAACACGTGACGTTCATATAGATAGATATAACTAGAGGGTACGAGTCGGTTAAGGAACGGATTAGTGCAGGATACAAGTGTAAAAGTGACAATCGGACGGCGACAGTGGCCGGCAGGATGGCCTGCCTTTTCCTGCTATGCCTTTTGGTGAGTAAGGGCAATCGAGTACCACGAGGGACACACTCAATGAGCTTTAAGAAATGACCATAAAATTATAAAGCATTAGTTTTGCTGTTGTCGTTGCTCGCATATATATATATATATATATATGTATGTAGAGAGAACGAGCCAGCGCCGCAGGTTGGAGACACCAACTTTTAGATGTACTTTTGTTTTTTGGACCATGTTAAAGTTAATAGCAATGCCAGCCACGAGTCTGGGGAGCTGCACTATTAGTCCAATAGATTCTATAAATATTAGGATAAGTTGAAAATCGGATGTTTCGACAGCAACGATCGACTTCAAGAAAAAAGGTGCATTAGGTAGGATAGCTATTGTTTATTTGCTTCGAGAGCCAATCTAGAAGGCTGCCACAGAGTGGACCGTTTGCTCTAGTGGCTAACCGAGAGACGACTCCCATATCCCTCCCCAGTTGGAGGCTTCTGACAGAACGAATAGCAGTTTACCTTTTATCATACGCCGTCATTTGTGAAATATTGGCCTTTGATCGTAGGAGCATTTTGTTGTTATGGCACCTCTCTGTAGAATCTGGCATCGTGAAGGTGGTGGTGCCTTTTACAGTAGCAATAAGCGAATTGATTTCCTAATGAAACGGATCAGGTTGAAACAAAATATCCTACTATGTGTTGCCTCTCAGCTTTTGTATTATATAATACTCCTGCCAAGAGAGAGTACGAGTACTAAACCCAATTACTCGTCAAATCAATGTTTATATTTTACGTCGGTTCCGTGTAGAAAGGTAACTCTATCAAATAGCAGCGACACAATATTTGCAGACGATACATATTTCCACCTTGCATACGAATAATAAGTCTGTCGTCACTTTTCTAACCACAAACATTAAACAGCCGTGCTAAAGGGAGCCGACCTGAACAACAGCCTAAATTTTCCTTGCACAGTTGGCTCTTGGTTATCCTTGTGAACCGGCATTTGCTTCCATCCTTCTCTAACGATCCCTACAATATACTACTAATGTCCGTCCATTCTTATTTCGTATACGTACAGAGGAGATTTGTCAGTGGCAGACGCACGCCATGCTGGCGTCGAGTTGATGCCTCTGATTCATCGTCGGTCAACACGATTCAGTTCAGCCATTGTAGTTAGAACGAGCGTCGTTTCGTTGATTCGGCCGCCATTGCAGTGGCGGTCGTTCGCGCGGAATTTGCGCGGGTTTGCCCGAAATTGGTATACGGCGAAAGAACATGGCAGAAGCATCCGTCCCTTAGTTGGCTAACGTGCGAACCACGTTCATTGCCACAGCTCGGTGACTACTTGTTCTATCCAACAGAGGTTGGCCCCACAATATTCAGTCATCGAATTCGATTGTGAACAGGAGCGTTGCGCTGCTCTTACGAGGAATTCTCAAGGCTGTAGACAAAATGGTGTAAACTGCACGACGCTGACCGCAGTCGTGGGTGTGGGCAAACCGAGCTGAAGTAACAGACGTCAGACGCGTAAGTCCACTAGTATTCGACTGCCTGCCACTTGCGTAGGTCGCGTTATCAGAAAAAGTGACCGAAACAGCAGCAGCAGCAGTAACTCTACGCGCGGTGAGGTTTCTACGCGAGGTAACACAGAGTTGAGCCGATCTGTGGCTTCTGGCAATATCACACCTGTTCATTATAATTTCTACACGAGTAGTAATTGACTTAAGCTAGTATTCGGTCTACCCGACAGATTCCATTCGTCCAATTCGTGGTTTGTTGGGCAAAAAGAGGCTTCTCCGTAAGTTTTTGCGGCGAGTTTGAAAGTTGTCAAGGTGGGAACTCGAATCCAATTTTGTATTGATGATTTTTTGAAGTATTTCAATTTTATTGCTGTTCTAACCATCACACGTACAAGTTTAGACCGAAACAGGTTAAGTTCGTTGAAACAGCCAAAGTAGTAATATATCGTGAAATCGAACTCAGGGTATGTCACACAATGACCGCAGTGTGGATGCCTAAAACTGATTTACGTTATGGTTACCATTCAGATATACATATGTACATGCTGCGTCGTGGCCGCTGGTAATAGTACGAACGGTAATCCTGTATAATAACCTAGACCGGTAATTTTAATTCCTATTAAACCAAAGGAGGAGGCACGAGGTAGGACAGTAGTAGGACAAAATTAGCCCTCGCATGGTGCGGTTTACCACTGTATTCGCTCATATGGAAGAGCTGTACTGCACACAAATGACCTTGGATCGAGACGTACGGCTTGTAGCTAGCTTCCATTCAACAAGTATATTAATATGTGACGTTAGTGACTATTTATAATACAAATACGTATGATTGACAGACTTATATACTCGAGGCGTATGAGTAGTTAGTTATAGAGTTTAGTATGATACAGTTAATAAACACAGTTGTCTTTGCCCTTCGAAGTTCCGTACAGTTTCTTGACAATAGTTTGCCACTTGACTAACTTACCTATTTTTGGTAGTTCAAGGCACTTTCATATAGCGGTTGCAAAGTGGTCGATTTAGTGACAAATAAATATCTGAATTCTTGTTTTTTTTATCTGTCTACGTAATATAACTATTTATATCGAAAGCTTATGGTGTATAGTTGAAAATATAGTTTTGAATTTGTATGTAATGCACGATGGGTTGATAAGTCCTTTTAAATGGACTCATATATTTCGATAATATGCCCTCGTACGGTGCGGTGGTGTATTGATATACACAACCAGGTGACTTCGAAACGCATGGGCTGGACTTAGTTCGAAACCAGGCGTGAACAAATGATGGCTATCCCTCGTTTAACCGATAGTTGATGGTCAATCGATACAAAAAACCCAAAGGGTCCGTAATGGTAACTCGACTGCCTCCCGCTTTTAAACTGCTGCTTTGCAGATCCTTTGATCATGTTTCAAGCGTAACGATAACAACAAATGCTTTGTTATTTTCTGATAGCAATATACCATGGAGTTTCTGTGTGTAAAGAAAACAAGATTCTGCAATGGACATAGAACCAACTACGCGCGATAAGCCTTCATGGTTGTTATCATCATCAGCCTTACAGCTATGAGATACGCGTACCTTCACGCGTTTGCATTCAAAAGCTACAATTCTTCGGGATTTTATATGACCTGTTACCAACACCGTAGCAATTACGTATCTATTATGATTAGTGAAGAACGCCCACAACTCTTACGGGATCGATCTATCTAAGGCAGGGTTCGTTAACGAGTTGTCGTTGGAGTATACAACATTTAGCAAAGGAGAAATACAAGTGAGAATGTAATATAGCATCATGACTGCGTGAGTAAAAAGGAGCCATTTCTGGATACAGACAGTGAATAAAACGAAGCAGTTGACAGACCGGACAGAATAACCACAAGTAAAACATCTTTCAGGTAAACAACTTTCCTACACACCACAAAATGGCCATTTCCGTGCATGAGCGTATATTGAGCAGGTAGAATGTAAAAGTAGAAATAAGCTCGCAGTTAAAACGGCAATGGGATTCGGTATTTTAAAAGTTACTTGTCACGCAAGACGTGATCACGACGACGATTGCTACTATTGTAGGAGTGCCATCTACCTAGTCACGTAAATGCTTAAAGTGACTACTGTCAAAGATGCTTGTCAAGTACACGTACCGGCTCAGGTATACGTCACTATATAGGTCATCGTTGTTATTCTTTTTTTTAACGTGCATCCGCGATGTTCGACCTTATCTCAACGCTTAATCTTACTTTGCGCCCAAAAGCTTTATCTCTTCAAACCGCGTCCAGTATCCATTTATGATTTTCCAAATCGAAACTTCCAGTTCCTACACTGTATAAAATAACTACCTTTTTTGGGAGTAAGCATAAATTAATAGAGAAAATATACCCGCAATTATAATCATTTGCAGTTGCTAGATGAGAAGGACCGGAGAAAATGACGAAAAGAACATGATATATGCGAGCACAAATCTACCCCCAAATTCAGAGAAAATGCAGAAAATTTTTCAGTCCCGTGGATCAGTGTTGCCCTTGCACGTATGCATATTACGTACTGGCTTAGCTCTTGTTGCGCGTTGTTTTTTAATTTTATTATTGGCTGTGTATATTTGATATATGGTGATATAAGGACGGTGTTTATATCGGTAGATAAACCATTCCAGGAGACCGATAATACCTTAGATAGGAAATTCTGCGCAATTTACAAATGTTCAGTAGTTTGAATACGGCAATATATGTCGCAGTGAATTGTGCACAATAATAAACACATATCCAGTATGTTCATACGGTTTCTGAAAATGAGTACCTATTAATGTACTTATTTCCAATTCAACTGTAAACCTGCTTTTGCAAAACTGTAAACCTACTTTCGCCCCATTCTTTTCTTTTTGTATAAAATACTATGAGAATTCATATTTTGTTACGCACGGAGCACCATAACATAGCTTATACCTACAACACAGTTCTACAAACTAAATTCATCACAAAACAACAGAAATTCATGAACGCAGAAATGATGCTTCACCCCAATACTTCAGGTTCCTATCGGTGACATATATGCACTGCGGAGGGGTAATTAACTTAAAACAAATTAGCATTAATTTACTCAACAGTGAATATAGATAGTTGTATTGTTTAAAATTGCCTATCGTACAGCCAGCCCTTACCACGTTCTACTTTTCGTCTGTCCGTTATCAACGAGCGCATAGAGCTGCGCTGTTTTGCTAATGCTGATAGTATTCGGATTTTTAGACGTCTCAATAAATTAGTAGACGTATTGAAAATGTATTCATATATATACGGGACATTTACACTGTTCCCAAGCGAGAATACTACTGACCCGGAAATTGTATGCAAACTTCTTACTGGTCCTGTCTCCGAGGTAGAGTAGTATTTATGAATATTTTTGTTGTTGTCCTCGTTGTTTCCGACGTCTTCTTCTTAGCTTGGGCAGCTTTGATGCACGGAGCTAAGCCAGCTGTTCAGCTCAAGAAGAACAAGACGAATTGTCAGCCATTTGCTAACTCAATAGC